CATCTGTTACAAGAACAGCCTTTTTCCATCTTAGAAACATTGCTAAATTATGTAACATGCTATCTGTTTCTGATGCAGAAAAGTTAGTTCATGCATTCATGACCTCGAGACTAGATTACTGTAATGCTTTATTAGCCGGTTGTCCTGCATCCTCAATAAACAAGCTACAGTTAGTGCAAAATGCAGCCGCTAGAGTTTTTACTAGATCAAGAAAATATGATCATATAACACCGATTTTATCATCTCTGCACTGGTTACCTATTAAGTTCCGTATCAATTACAAAGTACTACTACTGACCTATAAAGCCCTTAATGGTTTAGCTCCTATGTACTTAACGGACCTTCTTTCGCCCTACAATCCACCGCGTTCTCTAAGATCACTAAATTCAAGGCTTCTGGTCATTCCTAGGATATCGAAGTCCACGAAAGGAGGGAGGGCATTCTCGCATTTAGCTCCAAAACTCTGGAATAGCCTTCCCGATACGGTCCGATGCTCTGACTCGCTGACACAGTTTAAAACTAGACTAAAGACGTGTCTCTTTAGTCAAGCATTCACATAATGCTTACCTTTTAGTCCTCTGCTATGCCATACGGAACCGTTTGCCACTGAAACTGCTTAACGCACCAGTGGGGCTCGACAGCCTTATAGACAAACGGGTCGGTCCGTATGGTTGCGGTTGGGTTGCGGAGAGTTTGGGTTACGGAGAGTTGTGAGATTATGGTTTTCTAACACCTACTCCCGTGTAATGGAAATCATTATGAACATCAGCTATGCTAATTATTTCCCATCTGCCTTTCTGCTGTTATCTCGGGACGCTTGTCCCGAGAAAAATGGCGTTCGTAGGCTCCAGTTTGGTATCCTGCCTCTCACGGGGATTTCGGATGCCTCAACGCCTGTGATGAGAAGACCAACGCCTGTGAAGAGACGACTCAACGCCTGCGAAGAGACGACTCAACGCCGGCGATATGTTATCCCCTAAATATTACATGATTAACTAAATGTATTTTTCCAGGTACTCTCTGATATGGACTTACTGTAAAGCTTCTTTAAAACCCTATGATTGTTAGCCAGAGGAGAACTGGCCCCTGACTAGCCTGGGTTCTCCCAAGGTTTTTTTCTCCATCCAATCTGATGGAGTTTTGGTTCCTTGCCACTGTCGCCTTGCTTTTGGCTTGCTTAGTTGGGGATATTTAATATTCAACAATATTATTGAACTGTGTTGTACTACTTTCATGTTATCACTGTGAAGCTGCTTTGATGCAATCTGTATTGTGAAAAGCGCTATATAAATAAATGTGACTTGAAATGTGACTAGACTGTAGCTATGGCAGTGGAAATGTGGGCAGATACACTCAAAACAAGACATTCAAATGAGTTAAACTGTGGAACAACCACAGGACTCAAGCTGAGTTGGTTATTATATAGCACAATAATGCCCCCACCTCTTCCAGAGGACCGCGGGAGATCAAATAAGCCATATCCAGCAGGAGTAAGTTCATTAAAAAGAACACCATCTGACTCTTTGTGCCAGGTTTCCGTTAAACACACAAGATCCAGTTTACGTTCTGTAATAATGTCAGATAGTATCATAGCCTTGTTATTGACAGATCGTGTATTGAAAAGCGCCGAGTTCACCAGACGGGGAGCAGTTGAAACCAGAGAAGCAACCTCGCACTTGGGAAACGACAAGTTGTTGAAATGAACCCCCCTAGGCCTACACAACAGCGTTTGAGATTTGCGCAGAAATGCAAGACAAGCAACAGTAGTAACAGGTGAGAAGGAAAAGCTGCGTCTTGAAGAGCGATGTATATAACGCGTCTGTCGTAGTATTCCAGCATGACTGCAGAGAGTGTATGTGTCATTTTCCAGATAAAAGTTACCCTTAAGGTTCGACAGTTGGCGAACAGTGTACCTTAGGGCCATGTTGGAGAAGTCCACACCAGCCGGGACTTCACAGTGGTGCAATTCCTGGGAGGGACAGCAGCAGAAGAGGCGATTCCAGCGAAGAACAGTCGGTGATAAAAGCAGTTATCCAAAGAGTGAAGCGTGATTCCACATCATAGAAGCAGTAATTCAACGGATGAAGCGTAATTCCTCCTCACGATAAAATAGGCATTCTTCGCATACTCCAAAACTCTTAATGAATGCTCATCGATAATAATAATAAAAACAAACAAACGGGAGAAAGGAGCGGCAGCCAAAACGCGCCAGCGTACCCTTCCAACCGGAAATGAGAAAAAAAAGCAGTATCCTCACAACTGTGTTCCTTTCTTGAAAGCAATGGTATCTGCGAGGATTTCCAGTCAGGATTTAGACTGTACCATAGCACTGAGACTGCTCTCATCAGAGTCACAAATGATTTGCTCTTATCATTCGATCGTGGTTGTATCTCTCTATTAGTGTTACTCGATCTTAGTGCTGCATTTGACACTATCGACCACAACATTCTTTTGAATATACTCAATATTATGTTGGCATTAGTGGAATTGCATTAGCATGGTTTAAGTCACACTTATCTGACCGTTATCAGTTTGTAGCAGTAAATGAAGAGATGTCTTATTGATCACAAGTTCAGTATGGCGTACCACAAGGCTCAGTACTAGGACCGTTGCTGTTCACTCTGTACATGCTACCATTAGGAGATATCATTAGGAAACATGGAATTAGTTTTCACTGTTATGCTGATGATACTCAGCTGTATATTTCTTCAAAACCTAACGAAACTTACCAATCCACAAATTAACGGAATGCATAGCTGATATAAAAAATTGGATGATTAGTAATTTCCTACTACTAAATTCTGAAAAAACAGAGATTCTAATTATTGGATAAAAAACGTCCTCACGTAATAACCCAGAATACTGTCTAACACTTAATGGCTGCTCTGTCAAGTCTTCGTCGTCGGTTAGGAACCTGGGTGTGCTATTTGATACCAATCTCTCATTTAAAAGACACGTGTCTAGTATCTGTAAAACCGCATTTTTCCATCTTAAAAATATATCTAAAATACGCCATATGCTCTCATTGGGAAATGCGGAACAGTTAGTTCATGCGTTCATGACATCAAGGCTAGATTACTGTAATGCTCTACTGGGTGGTTGCCCTGCACGCTTAATAAACAAACTACAGCTAGTTCAAAACGCAGCAGCTCGAGTTCTTACCAGAACCAGGAAGTATGACCATATTAGCCCGGTTCTGTCAACACTGCATTGGCTCCCTATTAAACATTGTATACATTTTAAATATTGCTGATTACTTACAAAGCACTAAATGGCTTAGCTCCGCAGTACTTGAGCGAGCTCTTAACGCATTATAGTCCTTCACGTCTATTGCGATCTCAAAATTCCGGCCAGTTGATAATACCTAGAATATCAAAATCGACTGCAGGCGGTAGATCCTTTTCCTATTTAGCACCAAAACTTTGGAACAGTCTTCCTACCATTGTCCGGGAAGCAGACACACTCTGTCAGTTCAAAGCTAGACTAAAAACACATCTCTTTGACCTAGCATACACATAATACATTATAGACTTCTATAATTCAATGTTAGGCTGCATAGATTAGGTCAGCCGGAACCGGGAACACTTCCCTTAAATCCAGATGTACTCGTTACATCATAAGAAGAATGGCATCTACGCTAATATTAGTGTCTTTGTTTATCCCGAGGTTTTCCTGCAGCCTGCCGGATCCAGGCCGTGTCCAGATCTGACGAAGGAGATTCGCCTGGACCCGATGACAATGCAGTGCTGAAGTGTCCACTATCCTCTCCCTATGGAGGATCCCTTTCCCACTCTACAGATAAAGCGTTGTAGAAATTACGGTTCATGTACCAACCCCGAAGTTATAGAATAAATTAAAATTCTGTATCAAAATTTATAGGCAAGACAAGTAGTTTTTTTAGGCATGGTTTGTAGGGAATTACAAACCTGCGCACATATATTCAAACGCACATAACTATAGAATCAATTCTTAATGCGCATGTGAACGCCGTCAGCGTTAATCACAGTTTCGCGTTTAAAGTCTGTTTAGAGAGAACGGTGTCGTCTTAGCGCCCCCTAATCTAAAAACAAATGATCATTTCGACCGAAGTGAATCAATAAAAACTAACTTTAGCTGGAAAATAACATTCAAGAACCGCTATAAAACCAAACCAATCTCTGTTACCTTAAATCATATGTTTACCTCTGTAAAGCTGCTTTGAAACAATCTCCATTGTTAAAAGCACTATATAAATGAGGATGACTTGACTTGACTTGACATGAGCGTGAGCTTGCAGGGGCGGAGTATAAGAGCACTAAATGATTGGAGAAGGCCTGCATACGTCAACAGAAAGAGGTCTAACCTTAGCCCGCATTCTAGTCATGTCGGAAAGATCGTATTTACAAGCTGAACGCACATGAGCACCACCAAGTCTTAAATATGAGTGGGAAGCTCAAGATTTTCTTCAAGCCCTGAGATTACAAGTTGGGCCAGTGAGAAATGTAGCGGATTAAGCAGGGACATTGTCAGGCTTTTTTATTTACAACAAAATAAGATAATTGCCTGCACAAAATATAATAGGATTGTAATAAAACAATATAATAACAATAAAGTAATTGAAAACATAAAAAAGCAAAACACACCTGATTCACTGTGCTTATTCTTTAGTAGACTGAATGCACATGACGTCGAAAACACGACTTCAACATGAAAGTAGGAGGGGGGAAAAAAGGGGAGGGGGAAAGGGGGGGGGGGGGGGGGGGGAAAGGGGAGGGGGAAAGGGGGGAGGGGGAAAGGGGGGGGGGCATGAACTAAGGAGTACTTGAATGCACCAGGACACTGGAAGATCCAGTAACATTTTGATTAAACTTACAGAGTCAAAACAAATAAAAAAATTAAACACATGTATGAATTGTTCACAATAAGATATGCATTTCAAAAATCGGCAGGAAAAGTAAATTCACCCTGTCTGTTTTATAAATAGATTAGCCATGCTTTTATTATCTACTTTCCGCCTCTACTTCCTGTTGTAAAAGGGGGCGGGGTTTGTCGTCATTGACGTGTACTGGCTCTGTTAGAGATGCGCGAGCAGCAGGAGCTACAGCTGATCATCCGAGGAACACTAACTAGGTGAGTTCATCACCTAATTTACAGCCTTTAACACACACTATACACACGCACTGTCACATGCTGTTGAAAGTTTGGGCTTCCATTCGGTTAATGATGCGAGAAGGGCGCTGCTTCATCACACTGTTGAATAACTGCACGATACGATTATAGGCGCTCGCTTGCTGACTCCTGACGTAAGAGTCCATACGCGCTGAATGTTTCGGCGTTTCCATCGGGTTTTTCCATTCTCTCTCTCTCTCTCTCTCTCTCTCTCTCTCTCTCTCTCTCTCTCTCTCTCTCTCTCTCTCTCTCTCTCTCTCTCTCTCTCTCTCTCTCTCTCTCTCTCTCTCTCTCGCTCTCTCTCTCTCTCTCTCTCTCGCTCTCTCTCTCGCTCTCTCTCTCTCTCGCTCTCTCTCTCGCTCTCTCTCTCGCTCTCTCTCTCTCTCTCTCTCTCTCTCTCTCTCTCTCTCTCTCTCTCTCTCTCTCTCTCTCTCTCTCTCTCTCTCTCTCTCTCTCTCTCTCTCTCTCTCTCTCTCTCTCTCTCTGTCTGTGTGCGAGACTGATGCTGGGAGTCGTGATGTTGATCTAATGCTGGAATCGCTGCGACAGAAAAGCAGATCAAATAATATCGTACTCGAATAATTAATAATGTAGCTGAACTGTAGAAGGTGAAATGAAGTCTTCTGAACGACAGAAACAGTAAGATATTTACAAGATCTAAGTTATTACTTTTACAAAAAAATGCAACAGCATTTTATATTATTAATTTTTATATTCATATTTTTTTTATATATTTCTATTTTAATCTGCATTAACACGTCTGTCATTCAGTTTCATTATTGAAATGCAGATGTCACTCCTAAAACTGCAGCATATGTGGATGCGGGTCCTCTTAAAAGCACCAAAAACAAAATGCTTATTAAAAAAAATCACTTGTGTGTGTGTTTGACAGAGTACACAGAGCGCTCCCTTTATCGTCATATAAGCATAGATGCACTGGGTGGTTTGTTCCTGTGTTTGGCCAGTATGCTGTGATCCCAGATCCCAGTTTGGACTCCTGCTGTGGATTGAGGTGTTTATCTCCTGTAGATCCGCTCTGGCACTGACGCTTCACAGTCAGTGTCTCAGTCTCGGAAGTAAACGATGCACAACGCTCAGGTGTTTCCTTCCTGTGTGTTCGATTTGTTGCCATGTCAATAAACGGCGCTTTGTGCGCTCAAGTTCACAGAGACCGAAACGGCAGAAAGCGCCGTTATATTTTACAAAGGCAGTTTTCTTGTCATTGTGAGTTACAGTTTGGATTTCCTACTGTAATTACTGTTAACGATCTGTTCCTCGCGGACTGCATGACTTCACCACCACAAGCTATCTTTTCTGCAACTAATGCCGAGTTCACACTACACAACTTTAAACGTGGGGAGATCGCTTTGCTGTTCAGACTTGCTCTGGAGTCTTGAAGTCGTTGTGGTGTTCACACTACCTGACACTACGTGAATAATCTGCAACAGGGGGTTACTCACTACACGAGCTGACAGCAACTCTGTCACCCCACGACTACTCTATCCGGTCCCCAAACCACGTTTTGTCACGAAAACACACGTGAGAAGTGGAATGGAAAATCGCGTGAAACAGGAGTTGTCTATTTGAAAATGCCGGGACAAAATTGGCGGTGCAAGTTGTTTGCGCAATGATCTCTTCAGAACCCCCCCAAAAAAGAGTATGGGTGAAAGGATGGATGAGCACACGCCGACAGCAGGGACTGTCTGTGCTTAAGGGCGGCACCAGATATATGCAGGTGCTAGATCATTCACAGGGAGCGCTGCGCAATTAAATTTATAAATGCTATTAATATTTGAGCAAAAACTTAGCAACTCAATATTTAATTATTTTAATTATCACAATTAAAGTTTTAATTTGATTAAATTCAACAAGCACAACATTCAGCATATATTCAGCAAATATTCTAAAATATTTCTTTTTATTAATAATTTTATTTCAACATAATATCTTGTTATTTTGACATATGTGTGCGTGCAACAAGCAAGATGTGCATCTGTAAATCCGTGCATTGATTTTTATTAATAAACTAGTGTTTTCTGTGTAAGTGTCGACTGCAAAGATGAAGTTGACGATCGCCATCTCCGTATACGCGCCTATATAGAGAAATGCACATAATGGATTACATCAGAGAGTAGCCTATTTATTTTCGTTTTGAATTGTTTCGTTTAAAAACATTTTAAGATTTCTATAGATATATTTCTCATGTCTGTGAGGCATACGGTGAGTTTCAGTTAATTTATGAGATGCTCCAGTTCACGTGCAATGCAAGTGACCGCGCAGGCGCCTCCATGTCATGATTATATTGTCTTCTATATTTGCTTCTTATTTATTAAATACAGGCAATTGGTTGACGAAAAAATTATTACAATTAAGATACAATTTATACAAAACGAAATTCACTTTAAAGAAAGGCTTTCTACTAAACAAAACTTAATGAAGTGGTCAAATCATGTCTGATTGACTCAATGTCTCCTGATATATTGCGCATCCGATCTTCCTTATTCTGTTCCCTTTTCATAATCAACATAGATGAAAAAAAATAACATACATTTTTTAACAAATATTAAACTAAATGCGCTTATTTAATGGCTACAACGTGTATAGTAGCCCTACAGACTCCCTATGTAGCCTACAAATTGCTGCACATTAATTTAATTCTGAATTTTGCAAGTTGAAAGGCATTTGTTTGTACATCTGTAACATTTATCAAGTTCACGGATAATTGTGTGTATATTAGGGGTGGGACGATACAGGTACCTCACGATTCAATTCTGTGGCGATATGTGGTCCACGATATGATAATATAACGATTCGCGATATCTACGATATAAAATATATTGGAAGACATTTCATCAACGATATATCACGATATATGTGACTGAAAAGAAAGATTAACAATGCATGTGTACATATTGAGAATTAATATACCGTAAAACTTCCCGGGTTTTTATTTTCCCAAATCGTCGAACTGCACCGGCTTGTATTCGAGACACGTCTATATGAGACAGGCCTTTATAATTTAGTGTTGAGATGTTGTTAATTGAGTTTAGGCGAGTCTCTAATCTCTAAAAATCTCCAAATGCTCCACGTGAAACTGCGGTCTTCCGACCTTTTACTATCGTGTCAATTGATTTTGATTAATATGCGCGAGGGAGAGAGCAAGACAGCGCTCGTGTTGTTTGAAGACGTGAGAGTGCGCGCGCGGCCGTTGCGCTCTCTCTGCTCGTAAAACCCAAAGTGTCTCCACACTTTAGAGTGGAAACTAGCGGGTGGGTCTTTGATTCGTTTTATATTGTTTTCCGCCATTCTTCTCGCTTCTCTCTGTTGTTGTTAGTTAACTTGTGTTCTTCACCGGCCGCTGTTTGCGCCACTTTACCCCTATTTACTCGAACAGCGCCCCCCGCAAACAGAATGGTAGATATTGGGTAGTGACAGTGACACTGACAACGGGTAAATTAATCATTTTGTGTTGTAATAAAATATCGATATTGGGCGTTAGTGTATCGATTATTTATTGCGACAGAGAGCACAACAATATATTGCAATATCGATTTTTTTTCCCACCCCTAGTGTATATATTAATCATTATGATACAAAAATCATAACAAAGTAGGCTATATGTGCAAAAAAAAAATCAGATGAGCCCAGAATATGAACGCAACGCGTTTAATTACACGTTAAGCATTTTCCTCCCATAGAAAACCATTATAAGAACGCATAATATGTCTTAATTCAGATTAGAATGTCCCCTTATTGTGTCGAAATAATGACTTATTACATCGAAATAACGAGATATTATGTTGAAATAATGACTTATTACGGCGAAATAACGAGATATTATGTTGAAATAACGACTTAATATCTCGAAATAACAAGATAAGTTTTCTTTTTTTATTCTTCACCATGCGGTTCAGGGCTTCCATAGAATACAGCCTGAATGTAATTGCTTCCAGAAATGATTTCTGGGGGTGCTATCGGGGAGCTTTGGTCTGTGCTGGGGGTGCTATCGGGGAGCTTTGGTCTGTGCTGGGGGTGCTATCGGGGAGCTTTGGTCTGTGCTGGGGATGCTATCGGGGAGCTTTGGTCTGTGCTGGGGATGCTATCGGGGAGCTTTGGTCTGTGCTGGGGATGCTATCGGGGAGCTTTGGTCTGTGCTGGGGGTGCTATCGGGGTGCTTTGGTCTGTGCTGGGGGTGCTAACGGGGTGCTTTGGTCTGTGCTGGGGGTGCTATCGGGGAGCTTTGGTCTGTGCTGGGGGTGCTATCGGGGAGCTTTGGTCTGTGCTGGGGATACTATCGGGGAGCTTTGGTCTGTGCTGGGGGTGCTATCGGGGAGCTTTGTTCTGTGCTTGGGGTGCTATCAGGGAGCTTTGGTCTGTGCTGGGGGTGCCATCGGGGAGCTTTGGTCTGTGCTGGGGGTGCCATCGGGGAGCTTTGGTCTGTGCTGGGGGTGCCATCGGGGAGCTTTGGTCTGTGCTGGGGGTGCTATCGGGATGCTTTGGTCTGTGCTGGGGGTGCCATCGGGGAGCTTTGGTCTGTGCTGGGGGTGCTATCGGGGTGCTTTGGTCTGTGCTGAGGGTGCTATCGGGGTGCTTTGGTCTGTGCTGGGGGTGATATCGGGGAGCTTTGGTCTGTGCTGGGGGTGCTGTCGGGGAGCTTTGGTCTGTGCTGGGGATGCTATCGGGGAGCTTTGGTCTGTGCTGGGGATGCTGTCGGGGAGCTTTGGTCTGTGCTAGGGGTGCTATCGGGGTGCTTTGGTCTGTGCTGGGGGTGCTATCGGGGTGCTTTGGTCTGTGCTGGGGGTGCTTTCGGGGAGCTTTGGTCTGTGCTGGGGGTGCTATCGGGGAGCTTTGGTCTGTGCTGGGGGTGCTATCGGGGTGCTTTGGTCTGTGCTGGGGGTGCTATCGGGGTGCTTTGGTCTGTGCTGGGGGTGCTATCGGGGAGCTTTGGTCTGTGCTGGGGG